GCACCACTCAGCTTGGTGTCATCCGCAAACTTGCTGAGGGTGCACTCGATCTCGCTGTCTAAGTCATTGATGAAAACATTAACCAGCACTGGTCCCAGTACGGACCCCTGAGGGACACCACTCATCACCGGTCTCCATCTGGACATCGAGCCATTGACCACTACCCTCTGGATGCGACCATCCAGCCAGTTCCTTATCCACCGAATTGTAACAGAAACACTTGGGACTGCCCTGCTGTCCTCTGCAGTGTGTTGTGTTACTGGCCGCTTGGTTGTTAAGGGCGCTCACGAGCTGTTGCGCAGCTCTTGGCTAAAAATACATTCTTACTGCATAGGTTTAAATGAGGTTAAAGTTATGCTGAGTCTGTAGGTGCCTAAACGTCCTTAAAAGCAAATATGAGCTCGCTCCTAGCTGAAACTTGTCTTACAGTTCCTGGGGCTTCAGTAGTTTTAGTCTATAATGTTATGATGATGATGGCTATTAACTCATTTTGGCCTTGCCCTGCTTTTACTGCCTGCTCATCCGCCGTAGGTGTCACATGGCTTCTGCTGCAAAGCATTGACCACAACGGTGAGCGGCTCTGCTGGGAATGGTTATTCAGCAAATGCCTGTGCGAGTCATAGAATCGTAGAATTGCTTTGGTTGGAAAAGCCCTTTAAGATCATCGTGTCCAACCTTTAACCCAACCCTGCCATCCCACCACTAAACCATGTCCCTAAGCACCTCATCTATCCTTCTTTTAAATACCTCCAGGGATGGGGACTCTACCACCTCCCTGGGCAGCCCATTCCAGAGCTTGACAACCCTTTCGGTGAAGAAGTTTTTCCTAATGTCCAACCTAAACCTGCCCTGACGCAGTCACTAGGAAATGAGTTCCAGTTTTGATCACCGTTTACCACTAATACTTTGATCATTTCTTCCTTGATGTTTGCTTCAAGTTTATGACCCATGCTGGACCGAATTTGAAAGGCCTGTTTATTCAGCGAGCTGCTAAATGTCTCCTCCCGTGAAACGCCGAGCAGTTCTCCACGTTCTGCAGCTGAAGCGAGCTGGGCACGCGTGCACGAGGGATCCCGCCGGCAGCACCCCTAACGGGTGTGCTCAGTCCTCTGGTGGTTGCATGCACTGCGTTCCTCTTGGGCTGCACGTTTATGGCGCTGCTGGGTCTTGCCCATCCTATGACACCAGCCGGGCGCTGGCGCAGGAGGTGCAGCCATTAAACGAGCCTCTCCTGAGCTGCTGGCGGCTTTGGCTTTGCCCTCGCCAAGCTCGAGGAGGGGGCAGGAAGGGCAAAAGGGCCAGTGGGAAAGATGAATTGTGCGCCAGCTCAAGTGCTGAGCTTTGGGGAGGCAGGGGGCAGAGCGGAGCAGCTTAGGAAACAGACTTAAAAGATCTCTGATTTCTCTTCTTTAAGAAATCTCAAGTCCACGCCGCAGTCCTTTTTTTCCTTAATATTTAGCATTAGCGGCCCAGAGAATGAGGCGTATATGCTGCGTGACGCTTGGAGGTCTGGATATTTTTCAGGAATTGTTCTGCAACGCTTTTGGCGAAAACCCCACCCATTTGAGGACACAGTGTTGATCTTCATTATCTTTGTACTTTTCTGTGTATCGAGAGTCATTAAGAGGGAAGCGCGGGGTTTGTGTTCCTTTTGCAGACTGTACACGATGGCAGACAGTTCATGAAGTACATCGATCCACATTTAGGTGTTCCTTTGCCGGAAAGAGACTACGGTGGAAACTGCCTTATCTATGATCCTGGCAATGAAACGGATCCATTCCACAACATCTGGGTAAGAAACACGTACAGGTACTTGCTCATGAGTCCGACTGTTTTTTGCTAAAAGGTTGCTTAATTGACCTCTTCAAAGTGCACTCACGAGTCTTCCTGAGCGTTGAGAGAACCCGTCATGACTCCCTCTGCAGCTTTCGTAGTTCCCTTCTCTCCACCTTCCCTGGCCATAGGGTGGAGATGTGTCCCTGTATCCCGATTACAGTGCCCAGGAGAGAGAATACCTGTTAAACAGTCCTTGTTTCTCAGACTGTTGATGGAAACCTTTTCCCCTAGGGGTCTGGCTTGGTTTGTCTGCTTAACGAATCTTCTTACAGTCCCCTTGAGGCACAGAGTTCAGAAGCTGCATGTTGCCAAGCACCCCATAAGTTGCACTTTCCCGAATACCAGCAACTGCCAGGTTATTGCTTCTCTCTGGCAAAGAGAAGACTTGAAATTCAGGGGCAAAGGAATTCGGATTATTTACAACTCCCCAGTTGCATGGAGCTGTTAGGGCTTGTGTAGTGAGGAGCATGGAACCCTTTGGGTCTGCCCTGTAAGTCTGCGGTGCGCCAGGAACGGGAACACCCGCCAGCAATTACAGCCGGCCTTTTCTGGGTTTGCACCAGGAGTAGGAGGGGGGCTTTTCCCTTTTCTCTCCCCTTTCTTCCCCCCCCCTTTTCCCTTGGATTCATGGTGGCAGGACTGAGAAGATTTAAGAAGCTCTGCTAGATACAAGGTGGGGGCTGATGAAGAAATGCCGTGTTCTTGCTCTGGCTTGAGCGTTTTCTGCTTCTGTCCCCTTGCAAGGCAAGGAGCACGACGTTTAGCATCAAAAAGGTCGTCTGTGCTATATCAATGGGACCCTAATTCCAATTGCTGCCCCTTAAAATTGTGACCATGCTTGGAAGATAGCTTGCTCATTCCCTGTGCTTAGGGACAAAGGAGCTCCTAAACCTCATCAGTATGTATATGTGCAACAAGTGAAGTTCATTGCTGTGTTTTTCTTGGGGGGAAAGTAAGCCTGAGTGGGTTATTGCTTGCAGCCCAAAGTGACCTGCGCTCTCTTCTTGGCTTACAGGACAAACTGGATGGATTTGTTCCTGCTCACTTTTTTGGCTGGTACCTGAAAGTAAGAATGGCTCTTCTGTTACAGTACTATTCTGCTTTTAAAGCTTGGCTGCCCTGCTTTAGTGCTGCCACTCTTCGTGATCAATTATGTTAGGCAGTCATCTGTGAACCAGACCAACTGCTTGTAATACATGAAAGGCTTTTTCCCCCCGCCCTCCTGACCGTGTCAGGTCACCTCATTTCTTTCCAAAGAAACATTACATTGACAAGCTCCCTCCTCCACCAAAATCCATTCTGAGGTCAGATCACTGCAGGTAAAACCCTTCACTCTTGTAGCAAGATAAATCATAGAATCATAGAATGTTTTGGGTTGGAAGGGTCCCCTAGGGGTCATCTAGTCCAACCCCCCCGCAGGAGCAGGGACACCGCTAACCAGATCAGGCTGCTCAGAGCCCCATCCAACCTGGCCTGGAATGTTTCCAGGGATGGGGCCTCCACCCCCTCTCTGGGCAACCTGTTCCAGTGTTTCACCACCCTCATTGGAAAGAACTTCTTCCTTATATCTAGTCTAAACCTACCCTGCTTTAGTTTAAAACCATTACCCCTTGTCCTGTCACTGCTGGCCCTACTAAAAAGATTTTCCCCATCTTTCCTATAGGCCCCCTTTAGGTACTGAAAGGCCGTAATCAGGTCTCCCCGCAGCCTTCTCTTCTCCAGGCTGAACAAGCCCAACTCCCTCAGCCTGTCCTCATAAATGCTTGGATGGCCTTGGCACGTGGCGTGTGGGGACGCCGGTGTCCAGAGAAGGTAGCGGAAGGCTGCCGTTACCCAGACACCGACGCACGGCGGTGCCCTGCTGCTATTCCAAGGCAGGCTTTTCCCAGGGGCATCCCAGTCAGGCTTTGAAATCGTTAGATGGGTGGGGGTTTAATTCTTGCTACTTTTCCATCAGCATCAGCTGGCCATGGCAGGGGATTCCAGTGGTGCTTGTCTCTGGCAGAACACATTCAGTACTTTTGGCTGATTACTTGGATCTAAATATTAGCTTTGGTTTTTAACCCGAGCACGCTGACCAGCTTAACTGCATTTTGCCCTGCAGGCCTTGTTTGGACTTTTACCTACAAGATCACCATATAAAATAAACTGGAAAAGCTCAGGCCGTTTTAAAACTAAGCTATAACTGTTGATTCGGTTTTCCTTTTCAAAAGCGCAGGTGTGTTCCTATCAGTGATTTGGTTTATTCTGAATTTTTCCCCCTGTAACCAAAGGATGCCAAGCGTGGGGAGACGTTGGCTTTGGGGCAGCCTGCTCTGTTAGCACACACAACTGTTCATTTGGAGAAAGTTGGATTTTTATTTTTTTTTTTCATCTAATAGAATTACATTAGAAACTTAAATATCAAAACAGCATTTCAGTTACATTCTGTGTTTATTTTTACAAATAACTGTCGTATTGAGGCAAACATGCCAAAACAGCGGGAGCCTGGTAACAAGGCCCGAGGGGAGCCGTAACACGTTCCCGAGGAGCACGGATGGGGTGGAATTCAATTGCCGGGCCACCCAGTCAAGCTGTTGTCGGCCTTGGTCTGGAGGAAGCCTGGTTTCTCTTAGAGCCTGTTTCTGCAGAGATGCGTGAGATGCTGTCACCTTGTGAGCCTGCAGTCGAAGGGCACAGCGTGCGCCACGGGGGGGTTGTGTCCGTGCTGCTGAGCCTGAAGGAAACTGGCTGCTCTATTTCTTATTTTTCAGTTAACATCCTTTTCTGCAAAAAGCTGGAAGCTGAGCGTTGTCTTCCTAAACAGGGGTGGTCATGTGTTTGTCTTTTTCTTTTCTTCCCCTGGGCTGGTGTAACAGACTCTTAAGCGCCATCTCAAAGCACCCGAATGGCAATACTGGAAATGAAATTGCCTCATTCATCAGAAATGATTGTGCGCCTTCCTGTTTGCTTTGCAGTCACAGAATCCCAGAATGGCAAGGGTTGGAAGGGACTTCGAGAGATCATCCAGTCCAACCCCCCTGCTCAAGCAGGTTAACCTAGAGCATATTACACAGGACTTCCTCCAGGCGGGGGTTGAATATCTCCAGAGAAGGAGACTCCACAGCCCCCCTGGGCAGCCTGGGCCAGGGCTCCGTCACCCTCAGAGTAAAGAAGTTTTTCCTCAT